GCTGTGTTGTACTGACGCAAACTTTCCGGTAACGCAATGCGGAAATGAATTATCGATGTCGAAGTACGGTCTGTTGGAATTGATTTCAGCGAATAAACGACATGGTTTTTCCAAAAAACTAGTAACTAGCCATTTTTGAGAGGTAAACTGAATATGGCTTGAAATATTTACCGCATTTTACTTGTATTAACAGGTCATTGGCGAAGCGTAGTTTACGCATGGTTACCGTGTTCTACGCATTCACAACCAGTTCACAGCGATCGATATCCACGCTGTATCATATAAAAACAATTACCAAGATTCGTTACGCAAGACCAAGTTTTAAATTAGTTGCATTTTGAAGGGGTGGACGCTTTGCCGAATGTGACCCCAAATATAAAAATTGCGCAAAAGTGGGAGGTGGGCGCTTGCCCGGGCATGGGCGCTAACGCGGTCGAGTACGGTAATTAATAATTGTACCTGTATGTATTTTTCTATTTCTTATTGGTAATGTTAGAGATGTGTTTTCCAAATTTTGGAAATAATATGAACAAAATTATTTGGGTTTTAAGATCAATGTATTGATTCTCATAATAAAATGCTAACAATGTTGATCCTTCATCAAAATCAACATTCGTCTCCAATCGCAAAAAAAGCTGCATTATTTTTTGTCACATTTAAAAAAAAATTTGATAAAGATTGAGTCAGAGAAAAATACACAAAATGTGCAAAATGGTGAACAGAAATTAATTTACAAGCAGGATTCTCCCATAGGTGAAAGAGCCGGTAAAAATAGTGCTGAACCTGATACAAATATCAACTCACAGAACAAAAATCAACCTAAAAAGTAAAATGCTATGTTGATTGACTATTTAACTTTAACAACTAACCTAAAAGCCAATCAGGAAATACCTTACATATTTCCCTTGGTTTGTTGACCAATCAAATCTTGGATTACATAAATACATGGAGAAAACAAGAATTAGTAAGGGCAACACCTACCTCTGCTAGTGTCCATGCCTTGCCTTTGTAAACCTGCAATGCTTGACTATAGCTTCTAAGTGCATGTTTGCGTTGCCCTGATTTACTATACCGATGGCCAGCGAGAATCATGTGGAATGCATATTTCCTAACCATGGGTAGTTTCATATTGATAAAACAGTGAGCAGCCTGCTCAAGTAGCAATGCACTCCTCAGGTCTGAATCCTGTCAATCAAAAAAGAAAATTTGCAATGAGTGATTGATTTATCAGGGTAAAAGCCCATGCCCTAGGGGGTCTTTTTCTACACTTACAACTAAAAAAAAAGTATTTTTTGTTTGTTGTATTAACAATTGACTTCCTGCTGTGATTCTGATAAACATTCTTGAAAAATAATTGTCAATTGTGTAAAACGAGAGATGAACGCGAAATAGCTATGACAACAAAATAGGTAATTCAGGGCAGTGCGTTCACCGCTTTAATGTGCTTTGATTTGATGATACATGCTATTAATTCAAAGTACATACTGCATTTTTCATTACCTCGCTAGTCATCCTGATGAACTGCATTGCTGCTTCAGCATACATATTCTTGGCTTTGAGTATTTCCGTGCTCAGTATAGTGGCTCTTGTTGCAAAGTGTGCATTTCTAAATCAAGAAAAGAACACAATAGAAATGATACAGATCATGTTGTACTTAAATAAGCATATATACAAGACTGAATATGTATCAAAAAAACTGCTCAAAAAACAAGCTGCCATCTGATTGGCCTGACTGTTAAGTGGTAGGTAGCCAATCAGGTACAATCTGGTAAGTAACTTCACATTGACCCATAGGAGAAAGAGGAGTGCAGTAGTTTACTGAATTTTCAAAATTACATTTTGTACATTGTAAGTAGTTGAATTATCATATGTGTTGCAGTTGTGCGCAGGTATGAAGCCACTCAGTGTTGCATTCATCATCAAACTTGGAATACATGTTTATAACATGTGATCCACAAGACCTGGTTATATTTTAGTAACAAGAGTCAAGTTCACAGTACAGGTTTCTGCATATTCGCAATAAAACTACAAGGGAGGAAATAGCTAGTACCTTCAAACTTGACACACATGTCAATGGGGGAATTCAAACAGCAACAAGTATTTGAATTCTGTTTCTTTCTCTCATTACAGTCCTCAATGAGAATATATTTCTTTGTTGATACGAGTAATGAACAATTTTTACTTACTTGCAGGTACCTAGATATGTAGTAATACAATTCTCCATATAGTGTGAGGGGAAAGGTCGTTGAGAATTTCCCTGCATAAACAATGACTGGGCGGCCATTTCCTGGAAATGAACAAACACACAGATATATATCTATGTCTCAAGTCATAAAAGACAGTAAGGTGGAAATTTAATCGGTCCAGAAAATAATATTTGTAATGATATGTGAAAAGAAATGTGTGCGCAAAGAGTAAACAAAATCCATACATGTTTATGTCTGAGATACAGCTTCAGCTGGAAATGAATGATTTTGACAAAATGAACGTTTATGACAAAACACATGTGAATGTGTGCTTTAGTATATACAAATAAATACCATAAAAATTAGCGTGGTAGATTTCTCAGAGAGTGAATTAATAGGATAGAAGTCAACATTGGCAGGTTTGGCGAGAATTTCACTCACACAGCAAAAGTGTTGTTTTGATGGAGCTTTGTAGAAAGTATGCCAAACAAACAATGCCTAAACATCACCTTGGGCGATCTTTTAGATGAAAACGATAGAATGTATGTACGTATGTATGAATAGTCCAGGTATGTCCAAGACAGTACAGTACGTCTTACAGTACTTATTATTAAAGTATTTTGTTATCAAATCTTAAAGCGAGAAGGTTTTCACCTGTGCACGCACAGGAATTGAGTCCCAAGCGACAATAACAACACGTGCTAAAACGCAAAGGCTCATGGGTATATGCTTGTTTGTAAACAATGACACACCATGGGCATCTGACGCATGCGCAGGTGACGACTCCCTCGCTTTAAATCAAGATATATCTACAGAAGCAGAACTTTGATAAAACTTACCAATGCACCGGCATAATGCATCCAAGCATTATCATTGTTATAATCTCGTTTTGCCGAATGATATGATTGGTAAGCCAGTTCATAATTCTGTACAAGGAAAGATAAGTCTCCCAGTCTCCTCATCTGATTTTCAGGTGACTCTGGTGGATATCTGGTGAGACGGCCAGCAATCAAGTCAAATAGTTACACATTGGAGATCAAAACAACAATGTTGATGAGCACAGATGTATTATATACAATTTTATAGCTAATATTGTAACCAATCAAATAAGTTGCTATGCCTTCAAATACTGTACTTCCCTTCAATGTCACAAAAGACAAATTTTAGGGAAAAATTGTAAAATAGCAGTGAATATATCACTGGGGTCACAGTAACTTGTACAAAATTTTGTGACGTTGGTGTTGTATAGGAATGCATGATAGTCTTGTAACAGGAACATGAGCGATTAAACTTAATAAATTTTATGGGAGAAATTAGATTTAAAGTTCAGGAATTCATAAATTGCAAGGATTCGAAGAAATTTGAGCATAAATAAATTCAGGGTTTGAAACATTATTAAAATAATAATTATTTACTAGCGCAATATTTAAAACCGCAATAATACTTCCACACCCCTGTAGTACACCAGCGTCAATTTTGTTCTTGCAAACGCTCTTGAATTATGGAAACATTTCTAGGGGTAGATATTTAAAGACTTACTTAATGCCTACTGTGGACTGAATGTGAGAGGCCTGATTGCTTGGTTTGTTACCACCAAACCACTTCTTCGTGGCTGAAAAAATTGACCTGTGAATTGCTTTCCTAGATGCAAGCTGAAAAACGAAGACAAAATGGTGCCACATTAGTTTTACATCTGATTTCCTTCGTTTTCACTGTACCGGTAATATAACCGGGTTGGTTGGAACATATATGGATGGAATGAAACAGCATTGTTGATATTGTACAGTAGGAGGAAGTACTATTAAATTATTGACAAGAAACCATGTGCAAATAGCACAGTGTAAAAATAATACAAAGTTTATAAAATAAATACTATCGCCTAAAGTCAAATTTACCATACTCGCCCATGCTTAATTACAACACACACTCCAAACACTTTTAGAGATTGACGGGTATAATAATAGTAAATAAGTTTGACAGCTGGTTTCAGAAAGGTAGTTTACGTCGTTCTCAAAGATAGTTACTTGAAGATCAATGTAGTGGATGTTTCACAGATGCTGTAGTGTAGAATCATTAAATTTGTGAATATTGTATTTTGTGAAGTACGGGTAGCAGAATTTCAAATAATTAATATATTGCACCAAAACAAAAATTAAAGCATTGTGGGAATGAATTCTGGCTTTATTACACTTATGAGTATCAGCACATCTCAACCACAGCAATTAACAAGTATCCCACCACTAAACTATGATTAACGGAGCCCAATCCTTACATGCAAAGTTCCTTCAGTACTGTACAACAGCTTTCACAATGCAGAGAATATTTTATTCTAAGTGTATTCCGGGTAGAATAAATGCATGGATTGGACAACACTAAATATTTTGCTTGCTTGTTCATGAAAAAAGTAAAACTAAAACAACACGTTATGTTCCAACAATATAATCCTGAACACATCATCTGTTGATTTAGATGCTTTCCATTCAATTCGGCTAATCATGAAGGATTTCAGCAGGCGATGTTGTTGACTCTAATATGTGGACGCCAATTCCAAATGTCAATTACATTTTCAAGTAATCATTGTTTCAGAAAATGTCAAAATGGCTAGCTATATAATCAGACGTACCTGTTCACTCAATACCCTGATTTGCCGTTCAATGTATCCAAGCAGTCCCCGCACAGTAAATTCATGTATGAATATTCTCAATCGGTCATGATCACTGAGAGTGAGACAAACCCCATGCGAATCTAACGAAGATTTGCTAACAGTTGGACGTTGGTTCAGCTTGTTCATTACATCTGCATCTTGCACATTTGGTGGTGGCGGTGGTGGAGTAGTCCTCTCTGCAGAGAGTGTTGGTGGAGTAGTCTCGTTAAAACTAGCAGCCACTTCTTTTTCTTCATTTTCCGGTGAGAGGGGATGTGAAAATACTTCAGTCGGTGTAGATGCAGTGGAGTGGTGCTGGGTTTGCAGAGACAAAAGGGTTTCTTTGTTCTCTACGTCTTGTGGCAAGCTTGCATTGATGTTGTTGGATGAAATATGTGGTACCCCTGAAAAAGAGAAAAAAAGTCATTGTCAATGACATAGTCCGTCATGTTTTAGTGACTTTGACAAACAATGAAAAACATAGTCAGATTATGTTTAAATATTGGATAGTATTTAGCATATTAACTACAAATGTGCATGAAACAGGTATAAAGTGGTGTTCTCACTAGACGAAATAAGCCGTTGTCACGCCTTTTATTTGAGAACGTTGTTAAAATATGTGTGTGAACAGAATCCGCCGTTGTGGTGCCCGCGTTTTTGACACCGTTCTAAAAGAGGTGGACCAGATCCTAAACGCCATTTTCACACTGGCTCTTGTACAATGGAATGTGCCGTGTTAACACAATACGACGTCCAAACGCCCTCTATCGCCGACTTATTTTGACATTACTTGCTTGACTTTACATCATAGGTTCGAATGTCGAACTGGTCAGACGAAGAAACTAGATTACTGATTGTAATATATTAAGTCAGTAGTTCATTGTAGTATGTAATATATTATGAATGACAATTGTGCTAGGGAGTCTGTAGATTACGGGCAGTCTGGAATAAAGCTTGGACGTGGCCACACGTGTTGCAACAGTGTCTGTCTTTATTGACTCACAAACATTACACTGATATCTGTTTTGAGAGAATCCTATTTCTTCCTACCAGTTATTTCCACGTTGTCGAGTCTAAATCGATTGTGTTGCTGGGTCTATTGTTGCGTTATTCATACACGCGAATAGCGTGAACATGAACCGATCATTTCTCGGTCTTGTACGACCTAACAAGTTGGCGGTTTCTTGCACTTCGAAATCTTGAATAATCGATTGCCGGTGCCTTCTTCTCAAGTGTAAAAACACACAGAAAAACAGAAACAAAGCAAATGCATTTACCAGAGGGGACGCCGTGTTGTCAATTGACCTTTCCATTTGTTTATTGACCTTTCCGTGATATGATTCGTTGTGGGCGCAAAACACCCGTGTTTTTACTAAGTGAGAAGACAATTCAGCAGATTACGTAATATTTGCACAACAAAAAACAGTGTCAACACCGTCGTTTTTTAGACATGTGAGAACGTAGTTCAGTTTGAATGAAATTGGTTAAGGCATGCCCTAGAAACTGTCCAAGTGTTGATTTTTAGGACAATTATTGGCTGTCAGTTGAAGGTAAACAAAATAAAACAAAACGATATTCATGTATCATGACTTGTGATGTACCTCCTTTGGAAAAAAAAATCAGTCCAGGCTTGCACAAGAAATGACAGACAGAAGGATGCACATGACAGTCAAAAGTCAGTAATTTTTTTATCAACTTGCAAAACTGATTTGCAGCAGTTGCACAACAGATGTGATGTTCATATGCTCAGTAGACAATGCTTGATAAATAACCAACATGCACACTGTGGTGCCATCAAGTCTACATTACTTTCACTGATTGGTTAATTAGGATTCATAGAACACAATGCTTGATCAATAAACAACATGCACACTGGTGCCATCAAGTTCACATTACTTTCACTGATTACGCACACTGTGGTGCCATCAAGTTCACTTTACTTTCACTGATTGGTTAATTAGGATTCATAGAACATGATACTGGATCAACCTTCAACATGCACACTGTGGTGCCATCAAGTTCACATTACTGCATGTCCAAAAAACGGTTGATAACATGATTTTATTTGTTTTTGACGAAAATGACTGCCATTCGGCTAAACCCAAATCTGTACAATCATCTCTGTAAAATGAGAACATTTGTAAAAAACAAAATGGCCACCAGTCCGCCATGTTGAATCAAATGTTGAAAAAGGACATGCATCAGTAACCCATCATGAACGATGTCAATGCCAAGTCTGAATGAAATCAGTGAAGGCATGTCCAAGAAACGGTTGAATGACATGTTTGAATTTTGTGATTTTATTCCTTTTTGACAAAAATGGCCGCCATTCTTGTAAATTTTGATGAAAACGAAAAATAACTGAAAACAACATTTAACCCATTATATCTTGCATTTGTACAAAATTTAACCCAAATCTGTACAATCATCTCTGTGAAATAAGCAGAAAACTCATAAAAAACAAAATGGCCACCAATCTGCCATTTTGAATCGAATCACGAAGAAAATGATGTGCATCATTAACCCACCATGACTGATGTCCATGCAAAGTTTGAAATAATCAGCAAGGCATGTCCAATTTTTTGTGTTTTTTGGGACAAAAATGGCCACCAGTCGGTCAAAGGTCAACCAAATCAAAAATAAATTGATGTGCACAATGAAGAAAATCTGTGCAGAATAGAACCCAAAACATAAGTCGCTATTTCGGACTATGTCCGACAGGGACTACCGGTAATAAACTTGAATTTTCACACTGCTTCAAACTATTGAAAGACAAGTTAGATAAAAAAACAAAAACAAGAACAAGAACAACAATAACAACAACAGATATTCACACCTCAAATTATAGAATAGCGCAAGGTAAAAACAAATTATGACAATATCACAGCAATTGATTTCTGACATTATTATGCGATAGTCTTCGAATGATATTTTTAGCTGTAGTAATAAAATCTTCATACATTCAAAATTGTGACACAAACTTTGTTTTTAAATATTTATTTTTAGAAAAGGGATGAATACCTAGGTGAGCTCATTCAGATTCCTTAATTTACAGCTTATAGATCTCTATTGTGTGATTTTTGAATTGTTGTTTTATATTCTATGTGTAAGTGGCTTGAACTTAACTCCATTCCAAATATCTGAAACTCTCACTACACATGTGCACTCAAGAGTTTCAAATTCTGTTGAGACACATCTCTTTTTTTTTATCTCAGTTTATTTTTGTGAAATCCCAAGATGTGTGGCCTTACCTGCAGTCATGTGGATGGCACTTCCAACTCTGATGAGACTAGGTTCATCTCTGTCTGGTATATTCAATAATGGTTCACTTTCTACCCGTGTTAACAAAGGCTGTGAATCCATTGTGTTCATAACAGGTGGTCCAGGATCAGCTTCACTCACTTTGCTAGGGAATGCACTATGGTCAATTTGAGGACTGCTATCCGCTGCACCAGACACACTGTTCGACACCTCCCCTTCACCTTGCTCCTGTAAGTGTCAAATGATTCAGTAAAATAACAGAATGATTTTTAGATTGTCAGCCCAAAATATTTCAGTTAATGAACACTAGTATACTGGAAACTACTGATATGATTTGACATATTTCAACCAGGATTCATTGGATACATTAACATTTGTGTTACTGTAGTACCAGGGGTTTCACAAACTCATTTAATAGCAGGCCATTATCCTGTGACAGGCCAAAACATAAAATAACAAGTCATTGAAAATGACACAGTCCCCGTTAAATTTGTGAAAGTTCTTATTGAGCTCGTCATA